AGCTGTACTAAAGGAAGTTACTGCTTCAAATGGGCAGATTATTTTGTTCATTGACGAGATCCACACTGTAGTGGGTGCAGGTTGGTGCCTTCATTTCTGTTTGATTTTAATTTTGATCATATTGTGAACTACTTGGTGTTTTATTATTTTAACTTCATGTTTTATAGATAATAATACTATTTATGAAATTTTGGATTAATATGCTAGTGAAACTTAGTATTCTGACCCTTTGGTAGGTTGATTGAATGGTTTATCTGTTTCATGTTAGTTCACTTTGATTTTAGCTGAGAGCTCGATCTTCATTGGTGGTAATAGTGTACATGCACAAGATAGTTTGAGAAGAAGATGCTCTTTATAACCCCTGAGGCATTTGCTGATTATTTGTTTATAGGGGCTGTGAGTGGTGCAATGGATGCTGGAAATTTGTTGAAGCCAATGCTAGGGCGAGGTGAACTTCGATGCATCGGAGCAACAACATTGAACGAATATAGGAAGTATATTGAGAAAGATCCTGCACTTGAGCGTAGGTTCCAACAAGTGTATTGTGGTCAACCCTCTGTTGAAGACACAATATCTATTCTCCGTGGATTGCGTGAACGGTATGAGCTTCATCATGGTGTTAAAATATCAGACAGTGCGCTGGTTTCAGCAGCAGTCCTTGCAGATAGATATATCACAGAACGGTTTCTTCCGGACAAAGGTACAAAGTTGATGTATTGTCTTTGGAAACAAAATTGTTGTGCATTTTTTTAGTCAAAATATGTTTGTCTTTGTGTATTGGAGAATTAATCGGAGAGAGTCTTATGGTTTGGTTGATGGTTTGATATCAAACCAGAGAGCATAACAATTGCAATTGGAATAGGAGAAAGTGAAAAATAGAATAATCATTATATAGATGCATTCCAAGTTGACTGAAAATAATTTGGGTTTACAATGCTTCTTGGAAGTTTTTAATTGATCTGTCACACTTTTCAGCCATTGATCTTGTTGATGAAGCGGCTGCAAAGCTGAAAATGGAGATCACTTCCAAGCCAACAGAGTTGGATGAGATAGACAGAGCTGTGATGAAGTTGGAAATGGAGAAGCTGTCCCTGAAAAATGACTCTGATAAAGCATCTAAAGAACGGTTGAGCAAGCTGGAAAATGATTTGAGCTTACTTAAACAGAAGCAGAAAGAATTAACTGAACAGTGGGATCGTGAGAAGGTTCTAATGACTCGGATCCGATCAATAAAAGAAGAGGTAAAATTTTGCTTAATTTCATAGTTGCTAGTGTTGAATCACTATTTTTTTTTAATTGATTTTCTGGTTCACTTGCTTCAAATGTTTATAGATTGATAGAGTTAATCTAGAAATGGACGCTGCTGAGCGTGAGTATAACCTAAATCGTGCTGCTGAGCTCAAGTATGGTACTTTAATTTCCCTTCAACGTCAGTTAGAAGAAGCTGAGAAGAACCTTTATGACTTCCAAAATTCTGGAAAATCCTTGCTTCTAGAAGAAGTCACTGATGTAGATATTGCTGAAATTGTCAGCGAATGGACTGGTATACCGTTGTCAAACCTTCAGCAGTCAGAAAGGGACAAACTGGTAATGCTGGAAGAGGTGCTCCATAAGAGAGTAGTTGGTCAAGATATTGCAGTAAAATCAGTGGCTGACGCAATCCGACGTTCAAGGGCAGGATTGTCTGACCCAAATCGACCAATAGCTAGCTTCATGTTCATGGGCCCTACTGGTGTTGGTAAAACTGAGCTTGCAAAGGCTTTAGCTGGTTATCTCTTTAATACGGAGAATGCTCTTGTCAGAATTGATATGAGTGAGTACATGGAAAAGCATGCAGTCTCACGCTTGGTTGGGGCCCCACCAGGTTATGTTGGTTATGAAGAAGGTGGGCAACTCACTGAGGTAGTTCGTCGAAGACCGTATTCAGTGGTACTCTTTGATGAAATTGAGAAGGCTCATCCAGATGTATTTAATATTTTATTACAGTTGTTGGATGATGGAAGGATAACTGATTCTCAAGGACGAACTGTCAGTTTTACAAATTGTGTAGTAATTATGACTTCAAATATCGGTTCTCACTATATTCTTGAAACTCTTCGAAATACACAAGATAGCAAGGAGGCTGTTTATGAGGTGATGAAAGGACAGGTTGTAGAGTTGGCCAGACAGACTTTCCGTCCAGAATTTATGAATCGTATTGATGAGTATATTGTTTTCCAGCCTCTGGACTCCAAAGAAATCAGTAAAATTGTTGAGATACAGGTGAGTAATCTTTACCTACCCTTTATTTATTTATTCACTTATAAGGTATATACTAGTTATTGGCGCTCTGGAATATGAAATATGTCATATATTTGATAATCATATATGCAAATGCTAACTCTTGGGCATAGGATTGTAACTACCTTTACGTTCTCAATTTATTTTACTAAGTAATCACTGCTTAGTATGGAAATTCGAGTCTTGCGGATCTCATCAACTCTACAGGTTGACTTGTCCCATATAAAGCTCCTATAGCATGTGATGAATCCTTTTCTTCTTCTTTTTTTTTTTTAATTCATGAGGAGGTTATCATAAGAACAGGGGTAATACGTTTTTAAACAGCTTAAGACTGTTAATTTGAGTTTGCTTAATTTTCTGTTTCCAGTTGAACCGGGTGAAAGACAGGCTCAAACAAAAGAAAATTGATCTTCATTTTACAAAAGAGGCTGTTCAACTTCTGGGGACTTTGGGTTTTGATCCCAACTTTGGAGCAAGGCCGGTTAAGAGAGTGATCCAGCAAATGGTTGAGAATGAAATTGCAGTGGGAGTTTTGAGAGGAGATTTTAAGGAGGAAGACTCCCTCCTTGTTGATGTTGAGGCGTCACCTTCATCTAAAGACCTCACTCCCCACAACATATTGCGGATCAAGAAATTAGAGAACAGTTCTCCATCCGATGCCATGGTAGCAAATAACTGACATTGCATTTTGGGGCTGTCACTTGTACGTATGGGTCATAATTAATGCTTGTCTGGTTATTTTGTTATCGATGATAGATAATTTCCTTCCAGGAATTTCCTCAGAAAAGACATTGTTAGTGCTCGTGGGAAAACAACTCAACTTCTCAAGGTACATTTCTAGTAATAACATAGTTACCATTTTGTTTCATTTGTAAATACCTCTGCTAAAACATACAGCAAGTTTCTGGTCTCTGAAATACTTGAAGAGTTTCTGTCATCATTCCTCCTTTCTTTTTCTTTTTTTCTTTGCCATACAGGGATCTATTTGTAGTATGTTTTAAAAAAGAGAAAACATGTATGTAGTGGAGCACTCAGTTCTGAGTAATGCTTTTATATGTAAAAATGTAACCATCATTCTATCATCATATTGTTCTCTCCCATGAGTATGCTCCCCATCATAAACCAGTGAGATTAGTATTAATATAAACATTGTTGAAGTCCTAGTGGGATGAGTGAGAGGACAGTTATAAAAGACTAGCACACTTCCTCAGTCCTAACTACTCCTAATACTATATTTTTTTTAGTGGTTGTGGTATTTTTAAATTAATCACACACCTTAACTAATTCTTCCTGTTATCTTAAGGCGCGCAGGTACTTTTCCTTTTTGAAATCATAATCAAACCAGTTTAGCAATAATTGAGGAATCTCTAATTCTCAACTTATATGTTTAAGCAGGTGACCTCGGAGACGTCAAGTTTAATGTCCAAAACATCTAATTTGAGAGAGTTTAATGAATTTTAAGTAATTAATAACATTAATATGTGTTTGTTCAATTCTTTATCTTTTCTTCAGCTTTTTCCCCATTTCTCGCCAATCATATGCATGTTAAATTGTTAAATTATAAGTTTATTAATTCAAGTAGAAAAAATTCAATTTTTTAAAAATAAAATCTCAAATTTAAATTTTATAAATAAATAAATAAATGTTAAGAAAGTTTTCTTTCATAGGATTTTACATAATTCAATTTCGAAGTAGTCAATTTTGAATGGATGCTGGGATGTTAGTAAAAAGAAAATATATGCATGTTAAATTGTTAATGCATCAAGGTATCAGTTCAACTCTGGGTTTTGCCTGGCATTGAAATTTTTTGAGCCAAGCTGGAACCCGGTAAAATTCTTGGGTTCTGATTCATTTTTTATTGTACCATCTGGACGGAAAAGACAGTCCAAGTGGTAGGTGAGACCAAAAGAACATGGTCTGACACATTCTTGTTTATTTTATTTTTTTTTATTTTATTTGAATAATTTGGTAAGGTGTGAGTTCGAAACCCGCACAAAAAATGAGAAAAATTGATCGATTGACTGATTAATGCTTGTGGGCCTCAAGGCCAGGTGCATTTTAACATTTTTCTTTTGCTAATTGAATGTGCCCACACCTGTATTTTTTCGAACATTTAAGTGTGGTCTTAC